CCGATCTCCCCAAAACCCCAAAACCCCATTAGACTAGATTAATTGAAAAGCAAAGATAGAATAAATTTAATATAATGTTTGGAATACAATTATAAAAAACAACTAATCCTACAGTTGAGATCTCAGACAAGGATTCCTCTTTCTCCTCTGTGCGTTTGCCTAAAGCCTTAGGCTTGGCTAGGAAGACCCTAGAATCATCTTCTATTGGCAGATACAACAACGCTACCTCAGGGCAGTACACAACTACAGTCTCTAGATAAAATGGGAAATATGGCCACGAATCAGGAGGTGGCTGGACTTCGACAGCGAAATAATAGCAGATTTTAAAGAGTATGCAATCAAATTCTTCTCAACAGTCTAATTAATTTAAGCATGTGCCTCTTAATTCTAATGCTCATACAAACAACACTCCAACTAGCTCATCAGTTGTGAATGATAGACATAAAAGTGAAGTGAAAAGATGAACCTAAGTATAATACACTTTATAAAAACCCAGCAATCTCATTGATAAGTCAAAAGCTAATTAAAGAAAAATAACAAGCAAGACAGTTTAAATAGAGCAGCGACCTTCTTCATAGCACACTATTGAGAAACTCAGGCAAAGAATTCAACTGCATTAATAGGATAAGATTTAGAACTATTTGAACCAGCATCTAGATAGCGATATTCAGTTCAGCATGAGAAAGTACCGTCAGCAGCAAGGGATTTCGCAGGATCTGTAAAAGCACTAAATCACAAACCTGAGGCCGAAGTCAACTGTGCTTCCTGGTGTGGCCCACTCTGTGACAATGACAGGTTCTATAGTTGAAGATGATCTCACCCTGCTTGATGGCTTAAGTGTCCATCATAACAACACATTTTATGAGATGGAGTCGCAGAGCGTAGGAGCAGACTTCTCAGTGACTGAGATGAAGAAACCTCGCAGACTCATAGACATGAAGTACTTCTCTGGCAACCAGTCAGTTCCTCGCCCTAACTTCAAGTTAATCAAAGATAACGAACCTCTGGTCGGAAACTAAAGTCCCTAGCAGAGAAGAATCCCTGTGTAGAAGCGTAAAAACAGAAATAAATCAATTGATGTGTCTTCTTCTGATGAAAGCACTTAGAAGAAGAGATTCACTACGCCTTATCTGCAGCAGCAAAGAACCTTTAAGAAGGTGAGAGATCAGAAGCAAGTCACTGTGTCTCAGAAGTAACTTGCAGCTAGTCCTAAAAACTAACCTTAGGTTAGCATGGATAAGCAAACTATAATTGATCAGATTTCAAAGATGCAGTTTACGCAAAATGATGTCAGAGCATTAAGAGAAGCATTGACTAGCAAGTAAGATTTCAAGATACTCTGTGGATGTCTGTCTCTCAAGTAACTACTCAATAGAAGTAAGCAACCTCATTATTATATAATGTATTATCTGTAGATTTTTCTTTGGTAAGAGAATAATCATAAGAATGCTAAAAATTAGTAGAATTAATTTACAAAATATTAGTGGTACCGCCCTCGATCTCTGATTTCTTCCATGTATTTAAATTAGCTTGTGATTAATGTTTTGAATAGGATGAAGCGTTTTACTGTTTTATGAATTTAGGCAATCTTCGATATATCTAACTTATGAAAGAAGGCAGCAAACCTGCGGAAATCTAATTTTTCCTGTCTAACTTCAGAGAAATCTTTCACTCAGTAATGGACACCATCGACCTCAAACTTAGTGAGTGCTACTGGACAGGCATGGCTGAGCTCATTGAAGAAACCTCTTCATTCCCAAGGTTCCTTACCTAGCTAGACATATGGGATGTACTTGTAAAGCACTTCGAGATGTTTCTGCCCTCTCAGTCTTTTCAAAAAGCGATCCTCTATGTCGTACTGGAGTGTGGATTCAAATTTACAAAGGCGAACAAGCTTTCACAACAACTGAGCGAGAGACTGATCCAAGTAGTGATGGATGTGTTTCAAAGATGCAGTAATGATGACTAGGAATGTCTCTCCTTCTGCCTCTGGTCTATGTATCTCTATGTCTCTAAAAATGCACAGCATGATAGTCCAAACAAGCTCATTAGTTTGATCATGGAGAACTAGCCAGTGGTCAGCAAGAAATTGGTAAATTTGCTCGCTAATGATAGAAGCTTTGGGGCTATCTTGACACCTCTTAAAAATCTATTTGTCTAGCTGACTTATTCGTTACAGAGGAAGGATGTGCTGTATAATCAGATTCTTATAAACAATGGGATTTATGTAAGGATAAATGAAATGATAAAGGGGGCGACCAAGAGTAATAAACTGGCAGCTGCCTGCTAAATGATGCAAGTGATGATAAACAAATAGTGCAAGTTAGAAGTGATGAGGAACTAAGTCATTTTCTTGAATCTCTCTGAAAAGGCTAAAAGGGATGTGAGAAGTGTCAAAGATGTTGAACTTAACATTGAGTACTTCAAGATTTACAAGAATTTATTAGAAATGGGCATCAGTTAAGACTTAGTCTGTGCTTTGGAAATAGTCTAGATACTAATGCTGAAGCTAGATCAAGTACTGCGCTTGAAGGCTTAGCATAACTTAATCAATCTGCTGCTTGATGTACTAGAAATTCTAATCCAAGATTACGACAGTGATTTAATAAATTCTTATGTGCTGGAGTACAGGCACAGAGACCTCATTTTCACAAGACTTTAGGAATTAGACTCACACAAGATATATAAAAGAGCTTATTGGCTTTTGGTTGATAATTTCAATGATGAGCAAGAAGATGTATTTTGTATAGATAATGTTAATAACTGTGATTTTATGCTCTCTTGACATTCAAGTAATATATGATGTGTTAAAAAATAAAGATTATTTTGATTTTTTGTTCTAGCTTTTGTGCTCTTTTAATGTCACATGGGGTTTTGGGGTTTTGGGGTTTTGGGGTTTTGGGG